CTTGTGCCGCAGGGCATCAACATGAAGGAGATCGTGACGAAGAAGAAGGGGCGGAAGAAGGAGGACGAGGCCGGTCCCTCCATGGTGATCCCCATCGAGTCCTCTTTCAAGGAGGACTGGGCAGACTTCTCGAAGGAGGAGGAGGAGGAGGAGGGGTGCGACGGCCCTGACGAAGGAGGAGTTCTGGGCGCAGTTCCGCAGCTCCGACGATGAGGAATAGTTTATCTAGTAGTTTGAATAAGTAGTGGTTGAAGTTCATGTATCAAACTATGTTGAATTTGATGTTTGAACTATGTTGAATAGACTAGTAGTATGTCGTTTTAAGAAATTTACATCTTCATATTGGACCATCTATTGGAGTTGCTCTTTTGGACCATCAATTTGGACCATCTGTTGGAGTTGAGCTTTTTTCGGAGCTTCAAAACGCACTTTTTGACGGTCTAAATTTTACATCTTCGGTTTTGGACTGCCAAATTTTGAACCATCTATTGAAGATGCTCTTAGTGGAATAAAAATACTCCACTAAGGTTTGTTTTGCCGGATCCTCCATTATATATAGGGGATCGGTTAGAAATGCCCTCACTATGACTATTGTTTTTCTTATTATTCCATGAACTTTTAGCGACATACGTGCGACTGTGGCTAAAAGTAGTTCTCATTATTGAATGCTTTTTTGGTGTTTGAAAGCACGCTACTTTGTTTGGTGGCAATGTTTAAGTGGACTATTCGTTATCTCGGCATGAGGCGACGATTCATCCACGAAATCCCATCGGTGACTTTACTCGCTACTTGTCCCAGCCCAGCCACGCAATAGAGTGGTAAAGTCAGGTTTGCTGACTACTAGCCCTCTTCCGCACGTATGCTGCTCTTATTCCACACGTATGTTTGCTTTTCGTTGGTGCCTTTATTTCTTTCCTTTGTACGCAATTGTGACTGAAAATTATGTTTTGGTTCCATGATTATTACCTCAAACCACTCGTTCCAATCGTGTTCCAGGGTGACGTTTTGGAAAGACATGATCGAATTTCTAAATGTACATTCAATGTCTAGTCCTTTCGCCATTGAAGACACTACGTGTACTTCTTCTTTCTATAATTTTTAGCTATTCAAGATCGAATTGTGGCCGTATGCATCGTTCTGATGCAGAGGCCAGGGAGTCCCCCCTTTTCGAAAAAAAATTTGAAGATCAAATAGAAAATCCCTAGTTCATTAGACATGAACAGTTGGTTTTACTTTTTCGCTCACGGTTGGAATTTTGTCCACCAAAGTTCAGATTTTTTTTCTCATTCAGGAAAAGGTTGGTTTTTTAAATATAATTTAGAAATAAATTATCCAAAAAAATGATAAATTCATATCTTAATGTTACTGCGTTGTTGCATGGTCATTGAACCTTGTCCAGTAAAATAATCGAAACATGTTTGCAAACCTTCCTGAAACATGTATGTGAAACAATTCATGCGAACCATCTTGCTGACGGTTTGGTAACCTCAGTTGGCTTGTACATGTGGCTTTCTTATAAGGCCTTGTCCTTTTCAACCTGTTCTCTAAAAAGATCCAAGTGGAAACTCGGCAAAACATGAATAATTTTTTTTAAACAAAGTACAATTGAAGTCACTCACATACACAAGCATACACTCACCCTATGAATGCCAGCACGCAGACCCAACCCCTATGAGCATTTTCGGGAGACTGAGCTGGCATAGCATCTTGAGATTTTACGAAGTCACCACAAGCACCTCGCAGTCGACGGGAACGTCTCCCCCCACTAAAAAAACATCATCGGAAGCCTGAAACAAATCCAGAAATAATGCGAGCACCAATGTAAAGTCTAGGACTTTGATCCTGATGGGCTTGCAATACCACTGTCCTCCCAACCATTCAACTACAGGTTGGTTGCGAACATGAATAAAACTTGTGAAACGAGATTGTACTAATAAAATATCTAGGCAAGTTACAAAACTTGCCTTAAATTTATCCCAAATAGGCTTAAAAATGTTCATTCATTAAATTCACGTGACCCATAACATATGTTAAGTGTATTACCTAGATATCGTAGTCGCATCATGGCAAAAAAAGGTAGATATCACAGTCATACCATCAAAAGAAGGGAAAGTTGTAGCTGTGTGGCCATGTAGCTACATGGTAGGATAGAAAATCCAGACTCATGAAGATAACCACTCGTTCCGTTCCATAATGTAGTGTGTATAGATTTCTTTTTCAAGTCAAACTTTGCAATGTTTGACTAAGTTTATAGCGAAATCTATTTATATCTACAATACCAAAAATATAAAATATGAAACTACATCTTATGATGAATCTAATTATATATGTTTGGCATTCTAGATGTGAATGTTTTTCTCCATAAACTTGGTCAAAGTTTGTAAGATTTGGCTTTTCAAAAAATCGATATGCGCTGTATTATGGAACAGACGGATTACATCATTTACCTCTAGATGATAACGTGTGGGTTACTCTCAAATTCTTAATGGTTGTTTAATTAAAAAGTGGAGAATAAGAGATAAGAATCGTGGGCCACACGCAAGCACCTCAGTGACGTCTACTCTTCTGACTCTGCCTTATATATGCCATTGTTAGCAGGACATTGGTGCAGGTAGCTGAGATACATACATATATATACTTCCAGCGTCCATATGGGCAGAATATGTGAAGGAGCTAGCATCGGACAAGGTACACACGCGTGATGTACTCTTTACGTGCTTTGTGCCTCTTCCCTACTCTTTAATTTGTGCAAGCACCAGCAGGAAATGCTTCTGTTCCTACTTCACTCTATTACCTGGAGGAGCTTTTCAGCTCATGCATACTCCTTTATCTGGAAAAAAAAACTCATGCATACACGTGTAAGTGCAGGGGTAATTGATCATGCATGTCCAAACAAAATTCACGCCGGCCTGGAGCTAGTTAGAGAAGAAGGCCAACACCTCGCCAACGCAAGGACGCTTATTTAAAGAAAGAGAACAATAAACTTCCCATGCAAACTTGCATTCAGAAAAAAGTTGCATAGGAGACATTCAGAAGAAAAAAAATCTGTTATAATATTATTCAGAACAAAATTTATAGAAAACTGAACCGTTAGAACGAACCGCCCATCGGGGACATGGAGGAAGGGCTTGGTGTTTTAGCAAGCATCGACGCCTACACAGCTGGCCATGGCTTTGAGGAGGAAGGGCGAGGAGCCGAGGGAAGGGAAGGGCATCATAGGTTATGGTACGCATAGGTATCCTATATGATCATTTGAACAGGTCAAGTTCAATCTTTTCTCAAAAAAAAAAAATCTTCCGGTAGCGTATTTTCTTGGGGGGTAACTTCCTCTTACTTGCCTCTCTATTACCTGGAGGAGCTTCTCAGCTCATGCATACTGCTTTCTCTGAACAAAAAGAAAACTCATGCATACTCGTGTAAGTGCAGGGATAATTGTTCACGCATGTCCAAACAAAAGTCAGGCCGGCTTGGAGCTAGCTAGAGATGAAGGCCAGCTAGAGAAGAAGGCCAACACCTGTCCAGCGCAAGGACACTTATATTTAAAGAAAGAGAACAATGTAAACGTCCTGCATTAACGACGCAGCTTCCCATGCAAACTTGCATTCAGAGCAAAGTTGCATAGGCGAATATTCAGAAGAAAAAGTCAATATCCAGAACAAAATTGATACTCCCTCTGTCGCATAATATAAGACGTTTTTGTAAGCTATGTTTGCAAAAATGTCTTATAAAGACGGAGAGAGTAGAAAACTATAGACCCTTTCCTGCCCACCATGATGTGTCTGCAAGGAAGATCCTAGAACAAAATATTGTCCAGAAAATAGTCAGGTCCCGAGCTGCACATGGCAAGGATGAAGAAGATGGCAAGCTTGCTGGAGTAGCAGCACCCGACATGGCCACAAGCAAGGAAGAGACAGTAAACCGTTAGAACAAACCGCCCATCAGGGACATGGAGGAAGGGCTTGGTGGTTTAGCAGTCGTCGACGCCTACTTAGCTGATCATGGCTTTGAGAACGGAGAGCGAGGAGCAGAGGGAAGGGAAGGGGATCATAAGTTAATCCAATCACAGTGGGCAATATGGAGAATTTACTTACAAAATTTTGTTTATTTAACATTTTGAATGATTTTATATTATATCAATTTATTCAAATTACAAGCATAAAGAAGTCCTAGAGAACTTCAAGTTCACATGGGTAAACATTTTTCACATTTAAAAGAATACTTGCGACAGATTTTGTCATTCTAAAGCACTTTAGCCCTAAATCATGTACGGAAGGGTGTCTAGGTTTGGAAAACAATATGAGAAAATGCATACATACAAATAAGTACAACTTCGTGCCAGTAAATTAATATAATTTCAAATATCTTCTAAAAAGAGCAACGTTCCTCGTAGAAAATTTGTGTATATAGCGAAAAATGCTAAAAAAATTAGATACAAAATAACACATGGATATTAATTTACTGGGCAACCACAACAACCACCGATGGAATATCTAGGCCTCTGCCCTCCAAATTGAGCTCCGGGTTGTGGAGGAATGGGCTGGCATATCACGACACGAGATGGCTCCTCAATGTGAAGGAGGCAGTGGAGGGATAGGAAAAGAGGCATGTTCGGTGGGCTTGAAGCCTACTTCTTATCGTTTTAGCTGGAAAATGGTGTTGAAGCCTTGATGGGGGCGAAGACGCAGCATGAAGGTAGACAGACAGTTGTTATGTCTGGGTGTGACAGAATTAGATGGTGAAAATCATTATAAGAAGTTGTTCATAGAATATAAAAAATAATCTCCATGCACCATTGCAGTTCATGCTTCAAGAGATCATATGAAGCGAGTTTTATTCCTGTCTGATATAATGTGTGTGCATGCATATGTAAATGGTGAGATTGCAGTTGGATTGCAGATACACAGATTGATCAAGGAGTAGCCACACAAGTTGGCCCATCGATCCACCATGACCAGCTCGGAAATCCTCTGTGAACGACCGAAGTGGATATATAATAATCAATGGCGTGGAGCCTAGGATCTCAGCGCCAAGAAATCGTGTCACACAATGGACACGCTCATCAGCCACCACCTCATTCGCGATTGATCAGTAAGCCTACATCCACTCACTTCCATGTCCAAGTTGTTACTTCATTGTACTAGCTGGTATGTACTAGTTATTTATACAATTTTTCTTTTAGGAAACTAACTGTTTCTTATCACATAAACTCAAGAGCTTGATCTGATGATGCTCTATGCTGTATGATTTTCTCAACGTGGAAGCTAAAGCCCATCTCAATGATCAATAGGAGTCTATAGTTTCTTCACAAAGGAATATTGTCCTATTATGTGATTCAGATTCGTTTACTTTTTACAGTATTATAAACCACTACATACCCATTCATTTATATGATTCACCATAACTTGAAGATGGGTATTTGAATTCACATACCTTATTTGAAGTGATTTTAACTGAATTCTTTTATGAAAAATTAAGTACTTAATTTCAATGATATAAAATAAAATCATTGGAAATAAATTCAAATTAGTCTAGAATTCATTATTTAAGTTTGCAGAATACAGGCACCTTGAAGCCCCAATCCGGTTCCTTACAAGGGGCTACATGGTGTCTGGCTCCATGATTCTGAATGCACAAATTGACGACTATCAAATTTAAAACATTCGCCTATCCACAAATCATTCAAATATATTGAGGTTTTGGAGTATTTCAAACCCATACCAAGAATTCAGAGTACATGATTTCATAGAGACTAAAATCATTCAAATATATTGAGTTTTTGGAGTATATCACCTTCCCCCATCAGTTCAAACTTTTGGATAAATTAGCTGGAGCATCAATTCAACATGATATTAGAGCCAAGAGGTCCCATATTCAATACATAGCTAATATATTATTAATAAAAATAGTTTCCACATACATCAACCCAACGTCTAAGGTCTCAAGGAGGCTACACATCCATGGGGTGGGGGTGAAATATATTGACCGCCTCTGTCCATAAGTGACTTTTAGGTAGACATTTTAAAATATTTGAGCTAGGCTCCTAGGTCTGATCATCTCCATTGAATTTTTGTTTTAGGCAAACTGGAGGAATCTGATGGAACATTATTATGCCTAATAGTAGCAACCTGCAAACTCGTCAGCAGTGCCTGCAATTTCCATGTGTTTCTATTAAGTGATGATGGTTTTACCCACAAAGAAATCACAGAGTTGGTGGCTGGCACAATGGTGGTTGCTATTTGCTACCCCTATATACTTCTGAAATGGCACGAATTGATCTTGCCGAACTTGACACCCTTGAAGTCGTGGGTCGCATGGCGTCCTAACGTCTGGATTTTCAGAGACACAGGCGTTCTTGTGATTATTTCCTACCTGCTATTGCTGGACATCAATTGGAGATTCCTCTTACTTGCCATCTTTCCTATTATGGCCATTACTTTCATAGGAGCACTGTACTTTAAGCTCAATCGTTGTACTGGCGACATTGGTCGTAAAGTTACTCCACAATCTTCTATGGTCGATGAGAATACCATCATCAAGACACCTATGGAGCTGGAGATCATAGTGGTGGTGACGTTCGGGGCGCTGTTGGTGATGGATCAACTTGACGATGGTGCAGCTATGGGCTTCGCCATCACACAGTTTCTCTTGTTCCTGAGCTCCACTGTGGCGGCATTGACGCGCATGATGATGAAGCTGCCTACTGATCCTTTTCCGGGCAGTGCACCGGCGTCAGAGTTGCTCCACAAGACCTTGCTTCTACTTCTACTGGTGACGGCACACACATTGGCCGCGGAGTGGCTGGGCGAGGATGTGGTTCTGTTCTGCATGCCGGAGGTTGTTCCGGTGCTCCTCTGGTACAGCCTTCACCTCGACCGCCCACACCACCACCCACTCATCAGCGTCGACAAAATGAAGCCACGCATGAAGGGGCTCATTGCCCTATCTACACTGGTGGTATTTCCTCTTTTCGCATACATGGTGAACTCCATGGATGTTTCTGGGCTCTCCTGGTGCACGAGGATCATGGTGTCATGTGGCGTCTCAGGGGTTCTGACCTACTACCTTGTGTTCATGATACGCTACTGGCATTGGCCGTGGAAAAGAGAAGCAGCAGCCGCTGGCCGCAGCAAGGACGATGTGGTTTCCTCCGGCATGCTCAAGTTTTTGGCAAATGTTTTACTCATAACGGCGGCATTGCTGCTGCTGCTAAGGTATATGGTTTCTGTCCGGCTTGGTCTGCAACCATCATTGGTTGGTATGCTACATTTAAATTTGCAACGACTAAGCTAGTACTTCTACTGTATCGTAATTGTTGGATGTGTCTCTCTGTACTACTATAGTACACCAATTTTTAACCTAGTTTAGCCATCCACAGTGATGCAGAAGCACTTGTTGGCCGTTGAATTCTTCCATAGGATGAATTACCGCCGTTTATCAACGTTGAACCCAACTGATCAAATGGTCGTTGTTTCTGGGATTCGCTTGGCAGACCGCACGCCAAAAGGAGGGCAAGAAAATCTTTCTAGAGTCAACTGTACCTGCACACCTGCATTAATACGATCTTGATCTGTCGGTGATGAGAAAACTTTTCGCCCAAGATCTTCTGCGTAAGCATGTTTTGTGAAGTACCCATCCTGTAACTGTAAGACACAACGTGCATAGCAGGCACCTTGTACAAAAAGTCACTTTGGAGGACGAGCTCTAGGGAGCCCTATATTTTGAATAGTGTCAAAATTGTATTTTGAACTTTCAAAAAAATCAGAAAAACTATGAGATGGTTGGAGTAGATGAAGTTGTCGGTGAAGATGGCGGTGACAGTGACACTGGCGATGAGCTACTAGTCCGTTTAGGACCAGTACGGAGACGTGGGAGTTTGCATTAGAAGGTCAAGTCGGAGTCTAGTCAGATTACTAATGTTTGCTCCTGCCGTACGTGTATATATACACAGCATGGCTATCAGATTATACTGTGAGAAAAGAAGAAAAGAAACAAAGAGGAAATAGGGGCACGACAAGGGCCCTTGGCTATTAGTTTTTTTGTGTGTGTGTTTTTCGTGTTTTTATATAATCGATCCTGTGGGCGAAATTCCAACACGCGCAACCATTGAGCCAGGTCAGTCCCTCGTAGCAGATGGGATGGATCACGGGCGTGTGAGTGATTAATCTGATCGCGCGTGAGGTCAGGGACGCCGTTCAGTGGAGGCCGGCTGGTTGCAGAGTCTGAGCGGAAGCCGAAAACGATGGCCGGCGTGCGACTACGTGTGGACGTGCAAGTCAACACCGGCGCCAGGGCAGCCAAGCCCGAGCAGCCAACGCAGCAGCGGCGAACATTGCGTTGTGCGGAGGCGGCCATACATACGCCGTGGAGGCGGGAGGATGGTGTAATGTGGTCGTCTATGGCACGCGCTACTTCAGCCGAGGAAAACAACGACAGTGCCGTGGACCACCGCCGAATCTCGGGCTCCTCATGCCGAGTTTAGAACTCCTTCTTGGGCCACTGCTACAAGCGTGGGGATGGAGGCGGAGCTGCACAGGCCGCCATGCACAAACAAGAGGGTGGAGCTCGGGAGGAGCCATCGCCGTGATGGGAGGGGAGGAGGCACGAGAGCGCTGTCCATGAGGTACAACAACACGAGAAAGCATGTCAGGAGATGTAAATAATTAGACCAACGCACCGGAACATTGCCCATGATGAGGAGGTCGACATCATCGAAACTCTAGACGGGTAAAACCGATGCGGGCAACCGCAGGTGGGTGGGATGTACAAATCGATGCTTTGGATTATATAGAATGCGAGTAGGGGAAGAGAGTGGTAGCTAGCACGACGGTGGAGACCTTCGGATTTCGCCGGAACCGGCCGGCGAAGGTAGCGGCGAAAATGGCAACGTGGGAGAGAGAGAGAGAAGTGACAAAGAGGAGGGGTCAGACTGAGTTTTCTCTCCTTTCGCTCTCCCTTCGGCACAGTAAAAATCTCTCTCCCTTTGGCACAGTAAAAGGGCACGTGGACTGCACTGTTACTCGCCCTTGTCTAGCGCCATATTGTGTTTGATAATGCAGCGCCCGATGATTGTGGTGCCAAGGAAAAAAATCGACAAAGGAAATATATTAATATTGTAAAGATACCAATTACGGCCGGCCTCTGTACCAACAAGATCTCCAAAGGCATCAAGGATACGCACAGCCAAAATGAAATAAAAAAAGAAGAAGAAAAATAGACCCCGCCATGGTGATGAATCACTAACATCAGCAGCACTGTAACCACCACCGAAGACAACATCTGGAATACAAAAGAGGTTCTCTAAAAGCAACGCCTCCAAGAAGGGAGCAATGCACAAGCGTTGTCGTTGCCCGGTTGAAGATCTTGGGTTTTCATCCTGGAGAAAGTCTGAGTTCACCCCAAAATAATGCCTTCAGCAAGGCCATTGCGAGGTACAACCAATAAAGGCCAGACCTTGGATTTTCACCTGCAAATCAAGACTCGGTACTCGAGGAGCACCACCAAAAATGCAGTCCTCCAGTGTTGCCGCCCCCGCTTGCCGAGGCCCTAGTTGCAAGTCACCAACAGAATGAGCAGCAGATCGTCATCTTCTCCCCATCCATTGAGAGTACTCCCTGGGACCTCCACCGATAGTAGACGATCTCAACTCAACACGAGCATGCGAGATAACACCTTCAGAGCCTAATGATCTTCAGCCACGACTGCCTTGAATCCCCATGTCCACACCTTGGAATCAGGGCCGTGGAGGTGCCGATGCCGATGTTTTCAAGGTAGTGACAATCTGCTGTTGACAATCACCAAACACCCGAGCACGCAACTTTCTATAGCGTTAGAGACGCATCCGCATCTGATGAGCGCGTCGTGGAGGGTTAGTAGGCAGGAGGCGGTATCCTTGGGTAGCACGAGCCGAACGGACCTTATGATGGCGCCACTAGGTCCGCCAGAATCGACATAGCTGCACCGATGACGGTGGAGGTTCAACGGTGACATGCCGTGCAGTCTTAGAAGGGATCACCTATGTGATCTTGGGTCATGAGTCAGGGAAGGGGAAGCAACAAGCGCCGCCGGCATCCTACAAACGCACCGTACACCAGCAGCCTCCCATCGTCGTCTTCCACCAACCGTCGTAGGGCCGCCGCCCTAGAAACCCCGCCTTGGCCTCCATCGCCCTACACAAAGTAGTCCTCCCCCGGAAGAAAGAAACCCCGCCACACTTTGGTAGTGGGCCCGCCGCCACCGCGGCTCAGGCCTGCGGCAGCGGCAGAGGAGAGATCTGGCGGCGACACTAGGGTTCATCCCTGGCGTCGCCTGGGGAGAGACGCGAGGGACGCTCGAACCGTTTTTGCCAAGGAGTTTAATAAAGGAGCGGCGTATTGTGAGACTGCAACGACCATTGCATGTAGACCGACCTTTTGGTTGTAGTAGACCGTTCGTAAGTCGTCATACTAAGGCCCCATATGACCCTCGTATCAGAGCCGCAATCATCATCAATGAAAAAAATAGTAGATCGGAGGGTTCAAATACGTAAACAACCAAACGAAGACGAACAAAGTCCTGATCCAAATAGATCCACTGGAGACCATTCCCGACTCCGCAAGATTCCACAAAGACACACCTCCACACGTACTCCGGACAATGCTAGATGCACAATCGGGACGGGGATAGAACGCGGGCGGCATTATTCCAATTAAGGGCCATCGCCGCGTGACGCAGTCTGAGTCAAGACGTTGAACCTAACAAGAATGAGAACGGGGTCCCTCCCGCCGGCGGGGGGCGAGGTCCACCGCACCTCCATGGCCAAAGGCCATCAGAGATGGGGCAGGCCGTCGGCAGCACCGACTGGAGGAGAAGAAAGCTTGGGGCCTTTTGTTGTGGAGGAAAGAACAGTGTGCAAAGTTCTTGTGGAATTTTTTTTTTGTGGGAAGATCATGAAGTACAGTGAGTTTTCACTAAAACCAAAAAAAAGAAGAAGAGGTCGGCCTTTTCAATCAGACAAAGGGGACTCGGACCAAAATGCATGATTTTTACCAGAAAATTCTCGAGTCATGAGTAGAAGTAAATGTAATGAAGCAGAGCTTACTAGAAGCTCCAGAGTGACCGATCATGCAGCGTTCTTCTTCTTCTTCCATGGCACTCGCACGCGCTGTGGCAGTGCTGCTTCTCATTTGCTCTTGATTGGTGTCTCGTAAGTCGCTACTCTCCGCTCCATTGTTTTTCTACTCTTTTTTCTCCTCATAAAGAAGCAATAATATTAACTCTATGCCCGGCTGGCCGGCTTACGTCCATGTAGCTGCGCCAGGAGAGACCGGTGGATCCCGTGTGCCTCCGTCGTGGTCGGCAGTTGCTCCCCTCCGCAAGCCCCTGCAGGCCACCCCGGACGTCGACAGTGAGACGCTTGGGCGTTAGGCAGCACCGATGATGGTGGTGCCATGGAATTTAATAAAAGAGCAGCGTACTGTGGAACTGCAACGACCATTGCATGCCCTCCAGCAGCAGCATGTAGACCGAGCTTCTTCGCAGCATCAGCCGGGTCGTCTAATTAATACTAAGAGAGAGCCAGCACGTTAGTACCGAGACATCTATTGTGCCAATGCTTACTGCTACTAGTACGCATGCTAAAGTACCAATTACTTTTAAAAATTATGAATTTAACTTCTCACGGTGTGCATAAAAAATAGGGTTACATCATTAACTAGAAGAGGTACCATGCAATGTACAAATATAATATATAGAAACTTTCTTTCTTAAATTAAATTTTAGTATCATAGGTAAATATAGAGGCATTCAATTGAAAATTCAAAGCTTTCTCATAGAACAAAAAGTAGCATCACACTACTTTTTAGAAGAAAAGGCAGACCAGCAATCAAACATCCTAAGCCATCGACCCAACATCTCGTTGTCCGTATATGCGCCTTCTTGATAAACCCACACCGATTCAAGGTGCTCACAACTATCACCTTTACTTTTTTATAGGGTCTAAATGCGGCATTATTACTGAACAATGGTCATGGATATACAACTACCATATGGAAAAAGCCCATGCCAGACATTGCGCTGGGACTCACAATGGGAGGCACATAGCCATGCCCATTGCCTTCTGCAACCGTTAAGGTCGCGAGCACCTGCAGGCGTGTCGAGAGTGGCCAGTTGGTGAAACTTTATGAAAAATAAGAACTGGATGTGTAAAACTTATGGAATCTTTCATTGGGTTTTGGGAAGGTTCTATAAGTTTTTTTTTCAGTTTCCTTTTGTTTTATTTTTATCCTATTTCTTCCTTTCTTTTACTATCAATT